GTGTGTGTGTGTGTGTGTATCTCCGTATATATATATATATATATATGTATATATATACATTGTGTGTGTGCGCGCGCGCATACGTGCTTATGCTTGCGTATGGAGTGTAAATGGTGGTTCGTTACATTTAAAAGGAGTATTATAGTTTGTCCCTTAAAAAACACAGAAACTCGAGTCTACGCTTGGCAGTATCATGAACAATTCGCACGCTCGAGCATCGTCAGAGAACTCGAGCGAACGCACGTATTTTATATATATATATAGATGTAATGTATGTAATGTATATATGTATAATACATATATATTTTTTTGCATTTTTTTTTTTTTTCTTTATCTCATTTTTTGTTAATGCTTATAATATCTCTAGATGTCGCCAAATAACGCGCGTGGTAGTATTAGTAGTAGTGTATCTCCCCTTATATTTCTCTCTTCCTTCTTTTTTTTTTTTTTCTTCTTTTTCCCCCTCTCAGATTGTTTTATAATTACATTTTAATCGCTTGTTTGCAGCAGCATTCGAGAAAAACGACGACTACGACACATTTAAACAATGAGAAATCGACGTCAACGGTTAACGCCCTTGGCAGTGATCGTAGAATTGCATGTAGTTTTTCTTTCGTTCGAATATATTTATATGTCTGTGTTGTATGTAGCGTATATGTGTACGTGTGTGTGTGATGTATGCATGCTCGCGTGTACGTGTGCGTGCGTGTGTATTCCTCTCTTCCTCGCGCATTCGTCGTCGCCCTTCCACTCGTACTCTCTTGCATTCCTTCTTTCTCTCTCTCTCTCTCTCTCTCTCTCTCTTGCTCTCTCTATCTCCCTCTTCGTTCTCCACTCTTTCTTTTCATATCTCAGCTCACACTACACACGGAGTTAACGTGTGACCGGTTTATGATTCGTCGAAGGATGCGGTTCACCTTGATTCCCGCTGGATCTTTCAACGTCAAACTTGTTCGAGAGAAAACATCGCCTCGAGGGGCCAAGAATTCTGCATATCTCCACGACGACATCTGCCGCCAATTGCGCGAAACGCGTTAGACGTTGCATCGGAAATCATGGCGAGGGTCCACGCGTGTCCTTTGTATATAATATAGGGGAAAGTCCCTCCTTGATTCAAGGGCGGTCCTAAACGCTATGAAACAAAAGAGTGTCGATGACGACCTGCCGTCGACGGTCCGTGACATTTTTTTCCAATATACGAGACAATCACGAAAATTCTTTCGAAAATTTTCCGCCACGTCGTTCTCCCGTATACACAGACCACCTTTCCCCCTCTTTTATTGCACGATTTTTCTCTTTTGATATCGAACCAGAAACATTCTAAGGGAAAGAAAACTATTCTACTATTCGTTTGAAACGTTCAAGCTCTGAAATTTAAAAATTGGATCCAATCTTGTGTCCACTCTTGTGTGTAACTATCTACAGGGTACTTTGTTCGCTTTCCTCGTTGAAAGCGATCAAGTTCCCCAAAACGAGTCGATGTCTCGAAGTCAGTCAAATAAGGTGAACTATACAGTCAAGTCTAATCTATTGAAGAGAAATTATAGAGTTAGTAACAGTTTATACAAGTTAAACTTCGATAAACGATTCATTCAACGTAATATAATATAATATAATTCTAACAATTGGAAAAGCTCAGAAAGAAACAATAAAACGTACGAGAGCTTGATCATCCAAACGAAAGCTTGATTGAATGTTTACTCGATTGAACTTTAATCTCTATATACGAGAGAACAACTTTACAAAGCGATATCCTTCGACAATTTACTCGTGGATATCTTTTTAAGGTAATCACTTATAGCGAATCAAAGGGAAGTAGACGATTTTACGTGTTGTCCTCGCGTGCAGTACGCTTAAACATTAACATTTTAAGGACTCTAGAGCCCAAACGAATATTTTTTTTTATTTTAATGATCGTTGATCCGTCTAAACGATTAAACGACGTTCAAACGACAAAAATACTACAGATATATGCAATAGGCAATGTCGTTGCGATGCGTGTTGCGCTTAAGAAAAATTTTCCTTCCATTTTCCAACTTATCCTTATCATTACTCGTCCTTTCCTGTAGCAAAAAACGACGATATCCGAAAGCACTCGTTGTTAGTAGCTGCATGAGTGTGTTTTGTAGTACAACAAAGTATAGTCTGCAAAATATAGGTGTGTGCAAATGTATGTCGGCGTGCTGGTGTCTTTGTACAGGTCCTCTTCGTTTTCCATTCGTTGATTCGCGCTTACTTTTTTTTTTTTTTTTGTCGATCATCCTCTTCTTCACCTCCACTTAATTTTTCCCCACGATATATCCGAGATATTCAGAACTTTCATACGTTTGTATCGATCGATCCATTTCCAATTTCCTCCAAGATAAATAAGATTCCAGCGATGCCTTGAGACAATGGTTTTCGAGTTCTTAGAGGGTATTATTATCGTATTACTAATATTGGAGTGGATTAATTCAAAATGCAAGCGACAATCACGTTGGTGGCGATGATGGTGATGATCTGGCTGATATTACACTTAAGATTTCTATTTATTTGAAGCTTCATCCGTACGAAATCTCGTGCCATCACAACGCACTTCTCTCTTCCTTCTGCGGTGTGGCAGTGTCCGCCTTGCGGCATTTTGCAAAATTTATAGATCTTCCCTTTTGTCTTTGTAGAATTTATGGGACGTATCGACTGTCCCTGTCCGAAAAAACTGTGTCGATCTGAGGTATCGAAGGCGTCGTAAAATAGTGGACGTAACGATTGGATATAACGATTATTTGATCACGTGACTCGTGCATTGTTGCCGATTTTCGAATATCAAACGTTTTTGGAATTGTTTTTTTCCCAAAACCACCCCAGATAGACACGATCGGAGAAGAAATGTTACTTAGATTACAGCAACTTACTGCATGGATTTTTTTTTTTTTCGCCTTCTTCGAATATACGATAAGTATAACTGTACAATAGTAAAACACAGCACGTCTATAGGATCTTACTATTTTGTTCTAGGCAAATTACTAGTAACTCGTTCTTTTGTTGTCCATTTTTCTGATTCATCATTCATCACTACAACGTTATATCCCTTGCTTCTTCCCTTGTTCCATTTCATTTCAAAATTTGATTAATTTTTCACGTTTTTTACATCGTTTAAAATAAATACATCGCCTTAATTAATT